ATCTATTAAACAAAACTCAATCATTTATTTTAATCATTGGATTGTTTTTCTAAGTGAGTACTTTACCAAAATATCTAAATTATCTTTATCATTAAGAGGTATATATCTAATTTATCTTCTACTTTAAATCTAATGATTCAATGTATGTTATTTGAAAATTTTAAATTTTATTATTATGCTTGTTTTTATTTCCTAATATTATTATTATATCTTTTATTGTAGAATTTTGATTATATCAAACGTCACAAAACTTGATTTTGTAACCCTTGATATTTTGAGCAAGAATTATTGATCATAAATACTTTATGCTAAGGAAATATTCTCTACTTTTCATACTTCAAATATACTCCTGTAGTAGCAATATTGAGGAAAATATTTTAAAAAATATTTTGAATTGATTTCATACTTGTTCGTGGGTAAAAAAAGAGAGCTATTGATAATAAATTATGAGTCCCATCTAACTAAGTCTCGCTTCATTCTCCGAAGTGAACATGACAACTTATAATAATTCTAGGTATGAACGAAGACGTAGGCATAAATACAATCGTGTTGAAATAGTTATCGTTATAATCGCAATGACCATAATAATACACCTCACCATCAGTAGATAAACTATGAAAAAACACAAAAAAAAGAATAAAAATGGATCAAGTTAGAGTTTTGAAAATAAATATTATAGATATGACATGAAGGGACACATTAATCGCATATCCGTCATATGCTAAAGTATTTTGTTGAGCCTTATCAAGATTCATTGAAAAAGAAAGAGTAAAATATAAAGATTAATTTTATATATCAAAATGATGGTAAATAAAATATATAACTTCTTAGTTTTTTTTATTTATAAATAAAATATTTTATATTTTTTTAGAAAGAAAGCCTTGTAAGGATTCATTGAAAATGAAAGAGTAAAATATAGAGGCTAATTTTATATATAAAAATGATGATAATTAAAATTAATAACTTATTAGTTTTTCTACTTATAAATAAGATGTTTTAAGAAATTAGGTGTGAAAATATATATATATTTTAATTTTATGTCTAATTTGATGATAATAGAATATATATGATTTTTTTTTAAATTTTAGTTTGAACACACACACACATATATCTTATTATATTATTTTTATTATTTAAAATTTATTTATTCAATTATTTGTTTCCAATTAAAATTCTCATTAAATTTTTTTTTTATATATAATTTTATTTTTTGATAAATTTGATTTTTTATATATTGATTTTGAAATAAAATTTAAGAATGTGATTGTTTTATTTTTTAAAATATATTATTATAATTTATATGATTGATTATTTTTATGATTTTTAAATCGGAGTAGCATGATTGCATATATAAATTCTGATGAGAGAGAGCTAATAGTGGGTTTTAGATAATTTGACTTAATTTGTTAAAAATAATAATTAGTTAAAAAAATAATTTTTTTTTAAGAAATTAGGTGTGGAAAAATATATATATTTTTTAATTTTACCTCCAATTTGATGATAATAGAATATATATTATTTTTTTAACAAAAATTTAGTTTGAACACACACACACATATATCTTATTATATTATTTTTATTATTTAAAATTTATTTATTCAATTTTTTGTTTCTTATTAAAATTCTCATTAAATTATTATTTTTATTTTTATATAATTTTATTTTTTTTGATAAATTTGATTTTCTATATATTGATTTTGAAATAAAATTTAAGAATGTGATTGTTTTATTTTTTAAAATATATTATTATAATTTACATGATTGATTATTTTTATGATTTTTAAATAGGAGTAGCGTGGTTGCATATATAAATTCCGATGTGAGAGAGAGAGAGAGAGCTAATACCATGTTTTAAATAATTTGACTTAATTTTTTTAAAAAATAATAATTAGTTAAAAAATAATTTGACTCATTTTTTTTAAATTAATAAATAGTTAAAAAATTCACAGGATTTATTTATTTTTTATTTATATAATCAGAATTTATTGAAATTAATTTTACAATAGTTTTTATTTAAATTTATTCGAGTTCGATTTATTCTATGTGATTTCAATAGGTTTTTTTTTATATATATTTTTTTAAATCTAAGAAGATGTTTCTTGATTTATTAAGACATTAACCTTTGGATATTGAAAAAGGTAACTTTTCATTTATGTATAAAATGTTGAGCAATTTAAATTTTAACATCGTTAGAAATATTCTATGAAAAAGTTCATTGGAATGAAATTTCAAAATTCATTACAAGTCAGTAACTTTAATGCTTATCTTCTTCTTCTTCTTCTTCTTTTTTTCTTTTTTTCTTTTTACCTTAATGATAGAAGCATTTTTTTTTTTAATTTAAAAATTTATCAAGCCATAAGACTTTTGTATTTTAAAAATTAGCTTTCCATCATAAATTTAGAAATGAAATGCCGGATTGGCTAATTTTGAAGTCACAATTTTCCTTTCTTTAACATGTATAGCATCGATTTTAAGGTTGAGATTTTAGTGAATTTAAGAAAATAAACTTCTCTCTTTAAATTTAGAAAATAAATGCTCCAAAATTTAAAATTTCAGTTATAAACATTGTTTTATATTATATGTATAATATAAACTCTATGAAGTGAAATTTTTGTTAGAGAAAAACTTCATCAAATTGAGTAAATTAAAATAGATTAATTTAATTTTTTCATACAATATTATTATAAGAAAATATCGATGGAAATTAATTGTAGTACATCTTTGTTTTAACAAGAATTAACTAAAAAAAACCAACTATTTTTTATAAGCAGATCTACAGCAATGCACGGACCCGCTTACTTACTAGGTACGATACATATATAGTAGTTTTCTTATAAACTAATTATATCTATACACATAACTCAATTATTTATTATTTATTTTTTTCATATTCTAAAATATGTATTTTTAAATAAAATAATTTAATTAATGTTTTGAAAGAATCTCTTAATTATTTTAATACAAATTTTTATACTAATATTATAAATTATTTTGTTAATAAATATATATAAATCAAATAAGTTAACTTAATATATAGATTCAATTTACATTAATCTCCAAAAATAAATTTTTACTCACATCACATTATACGAATTGTTAACTCTATGTATATAATAATTATCTGATCGTATTACATGATTTAATATAAATGGATGGTACTGAGACATTCTCAATTGAATTTTAATAAACCTAAAAAAAATAAAAATAAAGCTGGGTTGTTTATACGGCGTTGTACGGTGTCCGTCGGTCCGTTAATTCGGCGAGTAAATTGGCCATTGCAATCTGATAAATGTCAGGACCCACTACCCTCCTCACCGCAGCGAATCCGAGACAAGCTCTTTTCTTTCCACTTCCAGGGATCTATGGGTCCCATTGCTTATTAAATAAGAGAAAATTCATATCCAACGGTTCATATCATCTCACCCATTAACGGCGGCGATTTTTCACATTTTCTTCCAACACCCAGAAAGAGAAAACCCATAAATTAATCTACGAGGAGATATTTTTCAGTGATTTCGCGCCTTTAACGTCCTCAATGACGCAAGTGCCCCTATATCACCATCTGCTTTTAAGAAATAACCGTACTATGGGGATAGTCTTGTCATTGCAGCGCCTAAGCAGTTGGAACTTCATTTGGGTCCCACAAGGAATTTAAATCCGATGGCCCACATGTCATCGCCGCCCCCTCAAGTTCGCGCGCTTTGACGGTGACGATTTCCTTTTCTTTTTTCCTTTTAATTTCGTTTGTCAATTTTTTTTTTAAAAGATCCAAAGCATTAAACCGTGATCCTCACGCCTACTTTTGTGTCCATTTATGCCTAGTCAAAGGACGTAAACGCCCTCCATTTTCTTGTTGGAGTATTATGATGTCATATATAATTGTGCTGTTGGCAGTAAAAATAAAGAAGTTCCCATGCTTTTTTATTTTTCTCATCAATTGAAGATTTACCCATGCTTACTTGAATAATGAGATCTATTTTTTTAGTGGAAAAAAATAAATATCATGTTTTAAGAAATTATTAAGTAATGATTGATAAAAACCAAAAACATAAATTCTAATTCTAATATCATAATATATTTGCTCAGTAGGGATCAAAGGTTACCTTCTTTGTCAATAGTTTGCAAGATACAACCATTATAAATGGACTAAAATTAAGGTAAAAAGAAATAATAGTGGATAAATTTAAGCACCAGCTTTTAATATCCTCGATAGCAATTAGTACCAACTAATTAATAAATTAATCAGGGGTAGTCTGGTCATCTAACATTGAAATAAAAGAGTAAATAGCACTTGGACGGGACCCATTTCTCACGAAGGGCGGAGAGGTTTTCCTTTTACTGAAAGTAATCAGTAACTGATATTCTTAACGACAGTTAATAACCGAAATAAAATGTTAGCACGCTTTGGAGGCAAAATCGTAAATTCAACAGACAAAAGTAAATAAATAAATAAACAAATAAAATTAGTACACGAGTGAAAGAAGAGAAAGAAAGAAACTGATGTATATTTGTTTGGTTTGGTTTCACACACATTCAAAAAGAGATCCCAACTTTCCTTCCCTTTCATCATCTTCTCATCACTCCACAAAAAGCAAAAAAATAAATAAGAATTAAAAAAAAAAACAATTCACACTCTTAGAAGAGAAAGGGAGAGAATTTTTTTCTTTTATAAAAATCTAATTGGAATATATTTCTTAGATTTCTTCGACTATTGGATTCTTCTTCTTCTTATTATCTGTGTTTCACACGCATTACTTCCATAACCAATACAACACATCCTTTGATCATTTTTTCTTCTTCTTCTTTCAAAATTGCACCCATTTTCTCTCTCTCTCTTTTTTTTTTGGGTTTTGATGATCTGATTTAAGGAATGAAAAATTTAGGTTATTAGTTAGGGGTGGTTTTGATTGTTGATTGTAAGTGAAAACTGAAAATTACTAATAAATAAATAAATAAAATTAAAAAACGCTTTATTATTGTTTAATAGAAACTGTACTGTGATGCCAGACCACAACAACAGGCAGGTTAAGAGCAATGCTGTGTCAAATCAATCTGCTGATAACATTGAAGGTAGGTAGTAGCACATCTTTCTGTGCACTCTTTTTCTTAAAGCAGTGAAGATCTGCTTTTTTTTGTGTATTTTTTTGGGGGTTTTTCTAAAGTGATGTGATCATAGTCTGGTTGTTTGTTTTTGTTGTTGTCAACAACAATTACAATGCATTTTCTGCTTGATCGTGGAACATGTTACAAGTCACTGTCTGTTTTTGTTTGGAAAACTGTGTTCGTTATTTGTGTTTTTTTTTTTTTGTTGTCTATGATCATATTAGATGTTTTAGGCAAGTTATGATTGACTTTGTTATCAAATTTCTTGATCATCGATGGGTTTTTGGTTTTAGGAGTTTTGGGCCTTGATTCAATGTATATTTTGATGAAATGAAACTTTGCAGATTTCAATTTCCTTATTGTGATTCCTATATTGATCAATATGATGTTGAAGTTGGAAAGTTTGTTACTTTCTTGAATTATTTGAGTGTTTTAGCAACTTTTTTAATGTGGGTTTCTTTTGTTTTTACCTTATTGGTTTACTTTTAGGCATTGTTGTTTGTTATTGTAGTAACTAGTAATGATCTATATTATACGTTGTTCCAGTTTGGAAAGTCTATGATGCTTGGTTTCATGTTGGTTTGAGGCTATTGGTTCTCTAGTTAATGATGTAATCCTTATGTAGGATGTGAGAGGTTCTAACTTGATTCTTTGGCTTTTTATGTGATGCAGAAGCGATTTGGCGATTGAAAATACATGATCATCAAGAGCAAGGTGGTATGGCTCAATCAAGTCCATACCCAGATCGTCCTGGCGCACCAGATTGTGGATATTATTTAAGGACTGGATTGTGTGGTTATGGAAGCAATTGCCGCTATAATCATCCTATTTATGCTGCACAGGTAATGCACAATGTTACTTCAGAAGTTGTTATTTTTTCTTTGGCTCATATTTGTGGTTTCAGTGGCTTAGTCCTGGGCCAACTTGATGTCAATTCTGTCTAATGTGCATGACTTCTACTTTTACCTAGCCTTCTCCTGATATCGTGTGATTCTAATTTTCTTATTCTCTGTACAGGGAACTCAATTGAGAGAAGAACTTCCAGAGAGAGTTGGACAACCTGACTGTGGGGTAAATTCTTCTCTGCGCTGTCTCATGAAAAAAAGTTTACCCTCTTTTGAGCTTCATGTGATTGATGACCATGGAAAATTTCCATAAATAGAAAAACAAAATGATTTGGCTTGTTTATGTATGTATGTTGTGTTTCTCTTCCATCCTTTTTCTCTTGCTTACTATCTTGGTAAATTGATAGGAGTACATTTTTGTGGTGAATCCAATGGAAGGGGAGAAATTCATATATTAGTGTAGACATATTTAATCAACCACCAGTCAGTTCATTGTTTATTAAACTAGATCAAATCATATTTGTATCATGTGTGACACTTTTGGTTTAATATTTGTTTTTCCACAAAGGGATGACCATTTGGTTGATTGAGATGCCCGTGATGGCTGGTGTCGATTGCTACATTACTCTGCCGTAGTGCACTATTCATGAGCCTTTCTTTTTAGAAGCTCATGAAGTTTTAGATAAATAAGAACTTACGTATTATTTAGAGTGAGAGATTTTGATTCAGCTTGATCTTCAGTACATGTGTTTGGAAGTCTATGAGATGAGGAGATTGACGTGAAGCTCAAAATTTATCAATGGTTATTGGTAAACACTAGGAATTCCTCTTTGAGGAGATGCTCGTTAAATTCTGTGTTAGAGATAATGCCTTGTAGAAAACTTTGTAATTTATAACTCTCTGCTTCAAATTGTCTATTGCAGTATTATCTAAAAACAGGGACTTGCAAATATGGATCAACTTGTAAATATCATCATCCCAGAGATAGGAATGGTGCAGGACCAGTTTCGTTCAATGTGTTAGGTCTTCCTATGCGTCAGGTGTTTTTTTGAAATCTGGATTGATGTTGTTTTTATTTTTCCTGGCTTTCCTGATATTTATTAAACGATATAGATCATATAAATTCACTTTCTAACTTGGAAATATTTATTTTCAGGATGAAAAATCATGTCCTTACTACATGCGGACCAGAGCATGTAAATTTGGAGTCGCTTGCAAATTCCATCATCCCCAGCCTGCGGCACTTGGAACTAGCTTGCCTCTGACTGGAGCTGCAGCCTTTGGATCTACAGGATCACCAATTGTGCCGTCTTCAGGTCTGCCTTACGTAGGTGGACTTCCAACATGGTCATTACCAAGAGCACCATTTATGTCAAGCACGCATTTACAAGGTCCACAGGCTTATATGCCTGTTGTTGTTTCTCCTTCTCAAGGCATTGTTCCTGTCCCAGGCTGGAACACTTATGTGGTAATTAAATGATTTCTAAAATTCCTTTTGCTATAAATGATTAACAATAAATGCGCCATGCTGACAAGGAAGATTCTGTTTTTTAAATGATTTGTCATTGCATCTTGGTTTGTTTAATAGTTGAATGCCAAAAATGTGTGTTAGAGAGGGTGAGAGCTTCATATTATGATGCCAATAATCAATGCATTCCATTTTGCACTGTCTTGTAGTTCCCTCTGTGTGATTGAATTTTATCGTTGCACCTTTCTGAAGCAGCAAATCTCAAAAGATCTGATGATCTGATGCTTGCTGCTTTTGAGAAATCATTTTTTCTGTTCTGCTTCCAATTTTCTCTCTTTGGTTGGGTATATTAACCTGGAGTTGTTGCATAGAGGATTAATGCAAACCCAAAATTATAATTAATTACTTGAGCCTTGGATGCTGACCGAATTAGTTCTTGAACTTTGAGTTGCAAGTTGTAGGATGATGCCTCTACATCCAACATCAAAGGATTAATCGCCTACTTGTTATTATCTGGCATGGATTGTTTTGGAGGTGTGAGGTGGTTGGGTTTCTGGTTCAAACTCAAAAACATATCTGATGGACTCGAACAAAAAAGTATAAAGGATTTAAAAAGTTTTCCAATTCAGGTTTGAATCGAAGTCCATGGAGTATAAAAGGGAAATTATTATTTCTAGAACAACAATTGATCTCTCTGGATTATCGGATGCAATAAATGATAGTCCCGCATGCATAATCTGGCGGTGCTATTTCTCAGGAAAACCTGCTGAAAAAGTGAACTGGCACTGATACTTTGTAAATTAGTATTGGGGCATATGCATGCAGAAGCATCCTGCAATGTGACCTAGAAATAGCCAAAAGAAACTTGTTTGGAACTCTTTTTATTTATTTTATTCATTGGCTCTTTTAATAAGGCATCTAGGTATTCTTTCTCATTGCATTTTTTTGGGGGAATGGATTTTAAAAGAAAAGTTATGTATCTCATACCATGGTTTTATTTGTTAATCAGGGAAACTTGAACCCTATGTCCTCTTCCAGTATTCTGGGATCCAATCGTGCTTATGACTCCAGGAACCAAGGTGATTCTGGTTCCAGTGGGCAAGTGCATTTGTTATCAACAGTTGGTCATATTCTACCTGAGAGACCTGATCAACCAGAATGCCGGCATTTTATGATAACTGGGGCCTGCAAATATGGTTCTGACTGCAAGTACCATCACCCAAAAGAAAGGATTGCTCAACTAGCAACCAACACTATGAGCCCTCTTGGGCTTCCCTCCAGACCTGTAAGTTCCCATTCTACGTAACATTTGGTGGCATGCCATGCAGTTTCTTACACAAAATAATACTGTTGAATAATTCTGGTCGTTTCAATTTAGTGGGCTTCCTTAACGTGAACCATTTCTATATTAAAAAACTTAAGTCTAAATGGATAAACACTGAATGTTGTTGCTTTGATTTCTTTCTCTTCTTTTACATGCAGGGGCAAGCCATGTGTCCGGACTACAGTATGTATGGAATCTGCAAGTTTGGCCCAACTTGCAGATATGATCACCCCTTACCTACATATCCTTATAACTACAGTTTGAGCATGCCATCTTTATCTATAATGGATTCATCTCTAGTAACTTATCCAAGAATGGCACAAGCGGCCCTGTCATCTGCAACTCCTGTTTCCTTGTCAAAACTTCCTGATTTGATCCGGAATACTGATGGTGCTAGCTACAAGAAGCATCAGAATCCTGATACAAATACAAAGATTTCAGATGATCCAACTGAGCAGGCTGGTTCCCCACCACCACACTCATCGCAGGCTTCTTCAGAGCCATCACATGATTAATTCGATTCAGTTCAAGTCTCACCATTTTGTTCTGGTTTGTATTTTTTTTTTTTTTTGATACTTGGTACTTTCTAAATGAGATTTTTGTCACAAGTACCTCCAGCCCCCCTTTTCACCTGTGTTTCTGCGGACTGTGATAGGTGGTTTGAAGTTAAAACATGTTGAGCAAAAAACGATGGGGGTATGGAAGGCATTTTTGGTTGTGAATAAAATGCAGGTGAAATTTGTAATATTCGTCCCTTGGATGTATCTTCTTAATTCAGTGATGTCCATTCACAATCTTCTAAGCTCTTGCCTTCTGTGCATTACACATGAAATGTTGGCTGTGGGAATCAAAATACATTAGCAGCCATTACTGTATTACATAATCTGCAAAGAGTAGCTCTGTTGTTTGGTACGGATGCTAATGTCCTGTAGCAAATTTTGGGTATGTGGTTCTTTGTCAAATGATTGAGCAACTGTCCTGGATAGGATGTGGCATGCACCCCAAAAGGTGGTGAGGGTCTGGCTCTCTTTCAGCCAAAATTCCTCTAGAGGGCATTTGACAAGGGGTGCTTTCCTAATGTTAAAAGTTAATTCGAATTGTTTACCAATTTTCTAATGTGCAGCTAAACAAGAAAGTGAGAACGCCTTAGATAAACAAATGTCATATTGCTCTATTACAAAATTGGATTACACTGAAAGAAAAGTTAATTCTAATGCACAGTAAACGTTGAGAAAATGTTTTCTACCCCGTTTTCTCATAATTCCATCTCATGAATTTCTTTTTTAGAAGAGAATTTATTTTTTGACGAACAAAAACTTACTAAATGTCTGCGGAATTCATAAAACCTCAATATGCAAACTGATAGTTTCGGTATTCAATAGTCTCATGTTAATCTTTCCTCCTTCCTATCCAAATTCATGTAGGAAAAAAAAAACAAAAGACGCAATAATATTCAAATATTCTCTCCATCTCTTTTCATCTTTACAATCACAACAACAAAATACAACTGCTGTTATTAATTATTAAATAATTTCGTATCTTTCCTCTCCTGCACTCCTTTGTGCTTCTCCTTAGAACCTCCATTATATTACAAAACCAAAAACTCCTAATTTTCTTCTTAATTGGTTTTTTTTATTTTAATAGGGGTTAATTGCATAAAACATCCCTTTACTCTTGACATTTTCTTAATAGCACATTTGTACTTTTTTTCTTATTCAACATCTCTTTATACTTTTCAATTTTTCTTAATGTAACCCCTCTTACCGAAATCCGGTTAATCTTTCGATTGGTGATGACAAAAAGTAAAATTTACCATGTAACTCGAATAATTACATGCTAATATCCGAAAGGAAAAAAACCTAAGCATCAAATCTCGTTCATTTTTCTCTCTCCTTTCACAATCGAAAGAGTTTAATCCGGATGAAAAAACCCTAACATCCTTCATCATTTGTCTTTGATTTTCTCGTTCACCATTGATTCACAAGCAATCGAACCCAAAGATCTTTCGGCCTAAGTAATAAAATGAATAAGATTAGAATCATTTTATGTAATTAAGGGCATAGGACTAAAGTACGGTTTAATTAGGTATACATTAGTAAGTTGGGATGAAAAAAAAAGTAATCTTCGGTCACTTTAAGGATCTATTCGGCTTAAACCCTAAACTCGTGAGGATTTGAATCCCAATCCTTCAATTCCATAATTAATGGTTTGAATACACCCTAATAAGTATAAGAGGATGTTTAGATAGAAAAAAATTGCTAGGTAAACCGAAATTTTGACCCGTAACATTTAAAAGCCCAATTCAACCCAAAATGCCACAATTTGGATTCGGAGAGAAAATGTCACCTTTGTATGTTTAACTCGGTTTAAAATGCTACTAATTACATACGTCAAGTGAATGATGAATTGTATGATGAGACTTACTAAATTTAATGGGAGGAAAGTGCCTACGTGCAACAAAAAGTTTATGACTTGACTAATATGAGTCAACGGTAATTGATTTTTCTTGGGGGAAATATTATGGAAGTGATATGAGAATATATCAAAAACCCTATGTGGGTTGGATCTTGAGAATGATTTGATAGTCTAAGGTCCGGCACCTATAGGGTGTTTAATAAGGTAAATGTAACTTCACGTGCATCATATGCATTCGGAGATGGATTGAACCGATTGCTAAGGTTATTCGATAAGTAATCGATTGCCGAGGTTATTCAACGAAGAATCGATTGCTGAAATTGTTCGGTAGTAATCGATTGCCGAGGTTATTCGACAAGTAAATGATTGCCGAGGTTATTCGACGGAGAATAGAGCGGACTTACTAGTATCCGGGGTACCCTTAACATTTCAAATTGATGAGAATAGTGAGGGCGAGCGTAAAAACATTGCATAACACATGCATCATCCTACTTACCGAGCTTCGGCTCACCTTGTTTGTTCTTGAATGCCATGACAAGTAAAAGCGACGGTAATACCGATAAGGACGCCGCCGGATCCTCCAAAAAAGCTTACGTGTGACACAAGTGTATGAAATTTCTTTTGATTGTAATTTTTAAGGTTAGGGTGTCGATAAATATTTTGATGATATTGTAAATAAATTTTATAATTTTTTCTCGTCGTATTTGTTAATATTGTGTAAATTATTTTATACGCGTTTCATCGCATGATAAGTCCTTCATGTGTGACCACATACGTGTTTGAGGTTAATTCAAAAATTGATCATGTCGGCGTGATGCGCTCCTCACTCGGCCATCCCTATTTGGGTAGTAGAGAGTGGATCGGGGTGGGGGCGTCACTACTACGCTCATTACTAGCCCTTTATTCTATAGTATAATCTTTAAGTTTGTTACATTCGGACTTCACATTACCTTCAATACCTACTTTGTACTAATTTTTTATATGCTAAGCAAATGTGAATAAGATCCCCAAACTATAATCCTTCTCGCCTACCTCAATAATTTCTTTCAATGTCATTTTCAAACAAACTCTATCAAATTTATGAATTAAATGCTTACCCATAACTTTATAACTCAAATGATTGTTTTTGTAAAACACTATCTAGTTTTCGGATTAGTTATATGGAGAACATAAAATTTTGAAAACACATTCTTCATATTTGCACACTGTTCTAACTTTTTTCCCGTCATTCTTCTCAAGTGGTACATCCGTCATATGCTTCAAAGAATATATAGTCATTGCACCAGTAAATTGCTTCTCATTGGTAAAAATTATTGAAACCTAAAAATATGGATTAGTTATGTTGGTGTCAAAATCATCTTCCCGGATTTCCTTCTTCTCTATGCTTCTCATTATTCTCATCACTACTATCTAGACTAACCGTTGCATTAGATTCATATTTATGTTCTACTTCTATTATTTCAATCTTTTTTATAAGGAAATTTAAGAATTTATCATGATAATCATTTTTAGCCTCATTTCCCTCAATATTTTCATCCTCACCCAAGTTTCTCTCTAAATTTTAACCCTAATTTCCCTCCAAATTTTGATCCTTAATTCCCTTCAAATTTAAACCACTCCTTCTTTCATATGTTTGTCTAACCCTCTTTTTTACTTTTTGTAACTCCTCATCTCCATCATCGGACAACCATTGACACTCAAAAACTTCATCACCATAATTTTCAATACATTCACTCTCGGATGTATCGACTCTTCCCCATTAACCTCATCACCAATAACAACTTCATCACCCAAATTATCTCCTCTTAGTAAAATATTAACTAAATCATTCTCCCTTATTTCTTTACTATTAACAAACCCAACATCGTTGAAATTTTTAACTATATCTTCTTCTCTATTTACTCGTTTTATCATCAATTAATTCATGAACATATTCCTCTCTCCTATCCTCAAAACCCAACCTAAGACCATGGCCAATAATCCCGGCCTTTGACATACTCTAGATGGACTACCCTCACTCGATTAATGGGGTGGTCTTTATCTTCATGTTTACTAAGTAATGAGTGGTCTTTACCTCCATATTCATAATAAATATCAACCTTTTCAACTTTCTCTATCAAGCTTAACAACCCTATCAAACTTTTGTCATCATGCATTAACCTAAGAAACAAAGATTAGGACTTTGGTATGACAAAAGAATCATTGTAATAGACAAACACAATATCATTTCTACCATATTCCTCTCGCTAATTTAAAGAGGGTCCTAAAACACAATAATCCCGGATCAATATTTTTCTTCTCAAACATAAAGCTACCAACATATTTAACCTATAAACCTATTGGACCCACTAACCTTTTCACATATCCACCTAAATGAAAAGCAAATGTCTTCATCTATCGAACATAACCAATAAAGAAAAATAATAACCACAGATCAATCCATGAGATAGCTAGGGTCTCAAAACAATATACAACATAATAAGTTGATTGAGAATAAAAAATTTACCTTGTTGGCAAACCAACAACAAATCAAGGACCGCACATGAGATTGCTAGGGTCCCGAAACAATACTCTATTCCTTTTCCGTATTGTTGTATACTTTATTGTGTTACTAAGTTGTCCCTATAATAATAAGGACCACTACTCAGTAAACAAAATAATACGGACACAATAAATTGATAATGAAGGACAAAACAACTTATCTTTTTTGGCCGTACATTCTTTTTATTTATTATTATCCACCGTATTATGATACAAAGTAAGAGAAATGAAAAATCAATTGATACCGATTAGGGGACAATAAAGACAAGTCTTCAACCAACAATAATAGATACTTGTCGTTAAAACACTAGATGGAGTATTTAGGATTTTGAATTAGAAATTTTTACAAATTAAGGTTTCGAGTTACTCATTAACGAATTTGCAAGAATAGCGGACGAGATCCAAAGATCTTTGGGTTCGATTGCTTATGAATTGATGGTGAATAGAAAATCAAAGGCAAATGATGAAGGATGTTAGGGTTTTTTTTTTGTTTGGATTAAACTTTCTCGATCACGATAAGAGAGAGACAAAGGAACTAGATTTTATACTTAGGTTTTTT